AAAGTCTGGGTAGATCTCTGTAGAACATAATGGCTTTAGTTCACATGTTCTGTCCATCCCTCTGTGCCCAGGATCAGCCTTTTCCTTCCCTTACCAGCCTCAGCTCCACAAAGCCCTGAAGATGATCCCCAGAGTGTGGCATATACAAGATCTCCCTGAAGGCACTAAATCTAAGCCATGGGCTTAAAGCTGTGGCTTCTGGGGCCTGACAGTGTTGTCTGCAGAGTCTTTCTTTTTCCTAGCCAGGATTATGATAAAGAAAATAATAAACTGCTTTAATAACTTCCTCGCAGTGTTGCAAGGAAAGCCTTGATCCCCTGATTACTCTAATGAGTGCACAAGCCTCTCCTCTCAGTGGCAGTAATTAATGGTGGTGCCATCCCTCCCTCTCACCCCTGCAGGCTCTCTGTGGAGGTATGTCCGTGCCAGCATGTCCCTCTCGGGGTACATGCCTCCACTCTGTGACCCCAAGGATGGCCATCTCCTGATGGATGGAGGCTACATCAACAACCTTCCAGGTAGGAGCACAGCTTGGTTGGGAAGAAGTTCCCAAAACACAGCTTGATAGCCTTGGCTTTCCTTTTTTTTTTTTTTTTTTTTTCTTAAAAAGGCAGCAAGGAGAAATCCTTGAGGTTAAAGAGACACTTTTAACCTCATGCTGGTTACCTGAAGTCCTTGCTCTCAGTTTCCTGGGTGTTTCCTTTATCCTGGCTTTATGAACACTGTGTCTGTTATGAGGTGTTTCTGTTATGAGGTGTTTCCTACTAGCCATATCCTGAGCATATAATTCCCAGATAATTTTGAATTATTTTAGTGCTTGCTGAAAGGAGAGAGCAGGAATTAAACTGCAAACATAGAGTCTATCTTGGAGTTTCTCTTCGAAAACATCAGTTAACTCAGAAATAATTCTAAGATAGCAACAGCATTAACTCTTTGTTGTTCAGGCTGGTGTCACCCAGAGCCTGAAGGTTCCACTGACAGACCTGATATCTTGGTCAGCACATGGCAGCAGGGGAGTCAGGGGGTGATCAAAGGAGGGATGTGGAGCGTGGGGTGTTCTGAGGCCTGAACTCCAAAAGGGTGTGAATCCACTTGTGTGTGTTTGGGATGTGTTTTGTGTCAGGTTGTCATCACAGTCAGGAAGCACTGGAGGGTGGGTGGCTCAGAGGGTGGCCAAGACAGCAGAGCTGTGTGGTGTCACAGTTGGTGACTGTGACTGTGCACAAGCAGAGGGAGGAATCTCAGAGCAATCTGAACAAACTAAGTCATCCAGACAAACCCAGGCTATGCTTTTCCATCAGGGCTGTATTTGTCTGTAAAAACTGAAATGAAAATAATACAGAATGCATCCCCCAAATCCACGTCTGACATTCTCTGTTGGTGTCTGTAAGCAGAGGTATGAATTGCAAAGCAAAGCACCTTTGCCACCTCCACAGTTGGAAAGGGCAAAGAGCAGCTCTTCGGGTGACACTGGGTGGAAAAGACACAATAGACTGAACAAGCGAGGAATATAAATCCAAGTTACAGAACAGATCTGAAGTGTCTAAATTAAGCATCTAAATTGGCTCTTCAGAGCAGTGGTTTTCCTACGCATAACTATTCTGGAAGCTGCAACTATGTTGGACTCTGGGGGTGTGGAGAAATATAAATCCTTTCTGTGAGGTTCATGTCCTTCTCTTCCCTCCCTCAGCATTTCCCTAAATCCTCACCCATATCCAAAGATTGCAGCTAGTCCTTTTACTGACCTTGAAGTAGGAAGTGTTGCCTCATTTCTCTCCCACTTTCAAGTGTGAATCTATCTCTTGGATCCCAAAGCATTTCTCAGACTGACGTCCTCCCATTCTCTCCTCGCTGGCTGGTCCTGTGCTGCTCCTTCCCTTTGTCACCTTCTCTCTGCAGGGTTGACCCCAGCACTGCTGATTCCCCTCTTTACTGCCACTGCCACTTGTCCTCCCTGCAGGTCCCCCAGGACTTTTGTTCTCATTAGAATGAGGTAGAATTAATGTGGGTTTAGTGCTCTTTCACACTGTACCTAAGGTGGTGTAACTGTGGACTCACACTGTGTGTCTCACTCAGCTCCTGGCCCCTGCTCCCTCCCTTTGCTTTGGCTGCTGCTTCACATGGGTTCTGGTTACAGTGTGGCCTCGGGGAGGGTCAGGTCATCCCACTGGTCCAGGGCAAAACATAGCCCATAAGTGATGTCTAGCAGCAGTGCAGCAATGGGAACTCCCCCTGAGGTCACACGAGTCAGTGTGGAGTGGACAGGGTGCTGGGATCTGTCCTTCAAAATTGGACAGGTGGGGTAGGAACCTCCCTGAGGGGAAATGGTCTCAGCAGAGCTGCTGCACATGGTGAAATAGAATCACAGAATTGTTTAGATTGAAAACCCCTCAAAGATCATCAAGTACAACCATTCCCCCTGCACTGCAGGGCCACCACTAACCCACGTCGTAGTATATTAAGGCATTGGAATGGAGCTTAGAGCTCATCCAGCCCCAACCCCCTGCCCTGGGCAGGGACACCTCCCACCAGAGCAGGTTGCTCAAGGCTTTAGCCAACCTGGCTGTGAACACTGCCAGG